TGCCCTTCGGCATTATTGCGACATGCAAGTCTTATGCCTTCGGCATCCTCATGCCCAGCTACTTCCTCTTGCGACATGCAAGCTTGGCACCTTCGGCACCCCGTGCCCTTCGGCATTATTGCGACATGCAAGTCTTATGCCTTTGGCATCCTCATGCCCAGCTACTTCCTCTTGCGACAATCAAGCTTGGCACCTTCGGCACCCCATGCCCTTTGGCATTTTATATTACGACATGCAAGTCTTATGCCTTCGGCATCCTCGTGCCTAGCCCCTTCGTCTTGCGACACGCAAGCTTGGCACCTTCGGCACCCTCATGCCCAACAACTTTCTCTTGCAACATGCAAGCTTAGCACCTTTGGCACCCTCGTGCCTAGCCCATTCCTCTTGCGACATGCAAGCTTGGCACCTTCGGCAACCCGTGCCCTTCGGCATTCTTTATTGCGACATGCAAGTCTTATGCTTTCGGCACTCTCATGCCTAGCCCCTTCCTCTTGCGACATTAAAGCTTGGCACCATCGCCACCCCGCGCCCTTCGGCATTTTATATTGCGACGTGCAAGTCTAACACCTTCGGCACCCCCGTGCCCAAGCTCACCTTCGGCACCCCCGTGCCCAAGCTCACCTTCGGCACCCCCGTGCCCAAGCTCACCTTCTGCACCCCCGTGCCTAAGCCCACCTTTGGCACCCCCGTACCTAAAACTCACCTCCGGCATCTTCTTGCCTAAGCCCACCTTCGGCACCCCAGTGCCCAAGCTCACCTTCGGCACCCCAGTGCCCAAGCTCACCTTCGGTACCCCCGTGCCTGAGCTCACCTTCGGCATCCCCGTGCCTAAGCCTACCTTTGGCAGCCTGAGCTCACCTTCGGCACCCCCGTGCCTAAGCCTACCTTTGGCACCTCCATGCCTTGCCACATGCAAGCTTGTTTCACCTTCGGCATCTTCTTGCCCAAGCCCACCTTCGGCACCCCCGTGCCTGAGCTCACCTTCGGCACCCCCGTGCCTGAGCTCACCTTCGGCACCCCCGTGCCTGAGCTCACCTTCGGCACCCCCGTGCCTGAACTCCCCTTTGGCACCCCCGTGCCTAAGCCCACCTTCTGCACCCCCGTGCCTAGGCTCACCTTCGGCATCTTCTTGCCTAAGCCCACCTTCGGCATCTTCTTGCCTAAGCCCACCTTCGGCACCCCAGTGCCCAAGCTCACCTTCTGCACCCCCGTGCCCAAGCTCACCTTCTGTACCCCCATGCCTGAGCTCACCTTTGGCGCCCCCGTGCCTAAGCCTACCTTTGGCACCTCCATGCCTTGCCACATGCAAGCTTGTTTCACCTTCGACATCTTCTTGCCTAAGAACACCTTTGGCACCCCCGTGCCTAAGCTCCCCTTCTGCACCCCCGTGCCTAAGCCCACCTTTGGCACCCCCATGCCTGAGCTCACCTTCGGCACCCCGTGCCTAAGCTCACCTTCGGCACCCCAGTGCCTAAGCTCGCCTTCGGCACCCCAGTGCCTAAGCTCGCATTCGGCACCCCAGTGCCTAAGCTCGCATTCGGCACCCCAGTGCCTAAGCTCGCATTCGGCACCCCAGTGCCTAAGCCCGCATTCGGCACCCCAGTGCCTAAGCCCGCATTCGGCACCCCTGTGCCTAAGCTCACATTCGGCACCCCCTTGCCTAAACACATCGCCTTGCGACGTGCAAGCTTTACACCTTCGGCACCTCCATGCCTAGGCACAATGCCTTGCGACATGCAAGCTTGTGCATTTGGCAAACCACTCTGCCTTCGGCACCCTTGTGCCTTTAGCATCCCCTTTGCCTTCGGCACCCCCGTGCCTAAACCCATCTCTTGCAACATGCCTTCAGCACCCCCCGTGCCTAAGCCCACATTCGGCACCCCTAGCCTAGGAACATTACCTTGCAACATGCAAAGCTTTGTATCGCCTTCGCCATCCCAACTCCAAAATTATGTCAGTATCCAAGGGACCTAGCCCCCTTCCGAAGGCTCAGCTCCAAAACAAACTCCTAACGCCAAGCTGAGTACTCAGGCCTAGCCCTATCTTGAGCAAAACAGGCTCAATAAAAGCCATGGATGGCCCTTACCGATCGGCACCTTGGTCCCTCGCCTAGCCCAACACTCAGGCCTAGCCAAATCTGCAGCTTGGCTCCTTGCGAAGCCTAGCCTCCTTCCAAATTCCAAAACTCCCAGCTTCTAGATCTCCCAGCCCCTAGACACTCATGCCAGCCCAAACTATAACTAGACTCCTTGCCGAAGCCCTTGCGACCCAGCCCTTGCTAAATGCCCAGGCTAAACCCACATGACCTGGCTCTTCCTAAAATGCCCAGCTCTCCCGTCGAAACATTAAAAGGCCAGTTGTAGGAAATTAGGGTTTGCTGATTTTTATTTTAAATATCCAGTTTTAAGAAGAATAATAACAATGCACAAGGAGCGCAGTCCAGGGGAAGTGTAACCACTGTAAGAGAAAAAGAAAAAGATGCGATTGTGGGCGGGGACTAAAAATAAAAGCGGGATCTGATTTTTCACAAGTGAAACCCCAATTTTTCAAAAGCTCCCTCTCTTTCTCACTCGCACTCACACTCTCGCTCTCTCTCTCTCTCTCTCTTCTCTCGTTCCTTCTCACTCTCACAATTTCTCTCTTCTCTTTCACTCTTTCTTTCTCACTCTTGCTTTGCCTCTCTTTCTCTATCGCTGTGGCTAGCTCGTGCTCTCTCAGTGGCTCGCTCACCCCTCGCTCAGTCTCTCTTCCTCCATTGTAAGCCCTAATTATGTTTTTTGTAATATCTATTTTTGAATTATGTAGAAATTGGGGAAGTTTCTGAAAAAAGAATTTCTAGGTCTTTTTCTGGGAATATGATTTGTTTTTTAGGTTTAATTTTTTAATTTTTATGGATTTTAAGTTGAAGAGTGTGGTAATGGTGATGCTTGTTATTCTTTTCTCGGTCATCCAGTTTTAGATGAAGCCATTTACACTTATCTAGCCTTTGCTCTATCTTTTACTGATCTGAATTTGTACACATCCAGTTCTTTGCTTAATTTCTACTTTTTCAGGACTCTTATACCGAGTTGGAAGAGCACTTGAAATGTTTGGTCTGCTTTCATTCACTGATATGAATTCGATGTTTATGGGTGTTCAATTTTTTTTTATGAATCCAGGGTTCTACTGCTTGCAAAAGGGACTTGTTGACACCATAACTGACCAAGCAACTAGAAGAAATTCTAAGCAAAGCAAGAGGAGTCCCACATCGGAAATCTACAAGAAGTGAAGACTCCCTCTCACCTATAAAAGCATACCACTCTCCACTTAAGAGGGGATCTGAAACTGAGCTGGGCTCCCTCTTCAGGACTCTCCTGTTAGTCTGGCCTTCGAGTCCTGGGTCTCCAAACCCGGGGACTTGACCCCTGGGCTCCAGACTCCTAACTTTGTACCTTAGGCCCTAGGCCTTCTTCCATTTATCTTTGGGTTTAATCCCCTTATACAAATGTAAAGAATATCATAATGAGAACATCTTCTCTGTGGACGTAGCCCATTCATTAAGGGTGAACCACATATATCTTGTCTTTTGTATATTTATAAATTGGCCAAGTCCTCACATACACGTTGAAGGTCCAAACCTTCAACCATCATCCATCACACCTCATCACTAAGTTGGACTCAATCTTGGCCCAACCATTTTGAGCATCAACAGGACTGCTGTTCAAATCATTTATAAAACTAATTTTTCATTTTGATGCATGTCTCTTCTTGATTCTCAGCGTTTTGGACAGAGTTGGGGTTACATTCTTCTTTTCATGCTGGGTACTATTGTTGTTGATATATTTTTCACGAATTTCAGTTCTGTTATTTGTTTTTTTAATTTCCAAGGTCTTGCTGGGAAGGCAACAAATCAATATTATGGAAATGATTTGAGGTAATCCCTAATGCCTTACAGGAAATGTATTTATTTCTCACAATTTATTATGTTTTAGATCTGGTTCCATTTCCTCTTTTAATTTTAGTTCTCATTCTTTTTTTTTTCTTTTTTTTTTTGGCAAAGTTTTCATTCTTTATTGGGCCCAACAAGTATATGGCTGAGAATTGAAATTGTTTAAGTTTGGTATGTGATTTTGAATTTTGTGGTATAATAGGAATAGGGTCATGAGAGAGAATCGCAGACATAAGATGGTGTGGGCTACATATAATTTCCCGCACTCTCAAATTAAGTTGTAAAGCAACCGAAGCCTTGGGTATCACAGATGAAGATGCATTTTCATGTTTATTACGGTTGGTCTTGTTTGCTCTTTTTAGAAAATGCAAAAGTAGCTGTTTTGGGATTTTTTTTTCAATGAGCTGTTAATTTTCTTTCATAAATAAGTTTTCCACTTTTGATTTTTTATTCTAATAACGCAAGATTTTTTTCACTTTTGTTTTTTTTGCAGATTTTAGATGATGCGAATGTTGTAGCTGACATTCATGCATATGCTAATCTAGGTATCACTCAGGGTAATGCTTTAATATTTTATATGCCTTAAGACAGGAAAATCTTGAAGAGTGACTATATGAGATGGAGAAATTGAATAATCCCTTTCTTTTCACTTCAGCAGTATCTAATTGCTTCCAAATCACCAACAAGCCCAAGTGTAAAAACTCTGTTCAGTTTCAATGACGATTGTGTTGTTGAGGCTTGAGAGTTATATTGTTTCTAAGCAGATTATATGATATTATGTGTTGGTTTTGTGATTTCTCAATAGGGTTGTTTCTTGTAACTTGGCATTCTCTTCTACTGAGAAACATTCATGCATTTGCATAAATGAATGCTTTTATGTAGAGGTTATTGTTGTTATAATACTTTCTGTGCCAATATTTAAATTGGCTTTTAATTCCAGTCCGTGTTGGTACCCAACTTTTGCATGAAGAAGAAAGCTCAGGGAATTGGATTTATGCTTTTTTTGCTAATTGTGTTGATAATTTTTCTCGCTGGTAAGAATTTTGAGTTTCCTCTCATTATAGAATTCCAAATAACTTTCTAAACAACACAAATTGGAGTTTCCTCTCAAGTTCTTCTATGCATTTGAATCAAAAGAAGTGGGCATTTATATTTGGTAATGAATATGTGCATGATATGAGACTCTATTGGTGTTGGACAAGGTTGATGTGTTCATTGGTTATATCTTTTAATTCTTTAAATTCATGTCTTACCTATACTGGCAGATTGATGTGTACATGGAGGCTTAAACTACAAAGACAAGTGCTACGGAAAGTCAAGCTTCTAAGTTAGAAATTCTACGTTTTACTATACTAGATAGTTTGGTTTATTTCAGCATGTATTGTTTTCAATGTAATTTTTTTTAATGTTTTTTTAGTATCATTTCTCAAGATAGTTAACATGTTATTACGAGTTTTTGAATGTTTGTACCTAAATATTCTATTTTAGTGGATATTAAATTTCAGCTTGTAATTTTTTTAATATATTCGTTTAGCTACTAAATTCTTTGAAACTTTAGTTGTTTAGGAAGCTCTTTTTTTTATTTATTTATTTTATTTTTTTTAAATTTTAGTTATACAGATCTTGACGGCTAAGAACCGTCAAGAAAGATTTATTAAATGTCAGGAAATATATTTGTTGATACTTATTAAGCGACAAGAAAAGCTTTAGTTGACGGTTTTTACCCGTCAGGAAACACTATTTCTTGACGGATAATAAGCGTCAAGTATAGTGGTACCCTTTCCTGACAGTGGCGTCCCTGACGCTTTTGGAACCGTCATCTAATGGCTTTAGTGACGCTTTTTAGCCGTCAGTAAAGGGTGTTTTTCTTGTAGTGGGGATGGAATTGATTCCAACTACACTAACATAGACAAGATGAAGTGTGAGTTATGGATTGTATTAAATGAGAAATGGTGGTGTTGGAATTCATCATGATGTTCCTCCCTCTTAGCCCTATAAATAGAGAAGTCTTCAAGCTTCATAAAACACCCCCAAGGGGGGGAGCTCTCAAACACTTCTCTAGAGCTCCCCTCCCTTCTCTCCCTCAAATTCTCTTAGTTTTGCTTTCTAGTTCTCAATTCTAGCTTTCCTTTTGCTTCTTAGTTGTAATTTATTTTTTCTTTGTAATGTAAATTCTTTTCTTAAGTTTTCAAGTTTAATTAGTTTCCAAGTTTCAATTATGGTTTTTGTTCTTATTCATTATGCTTATAAGTTAATATGCTAGTTTGAATGATTGATCACCATTTAGGCTTGCATGTTAGCTATCTTGGTTTGAATTAAGAGTAGACACTATGCTTTAATTCGAATTGAACTATGAATAGGAAGAGTATGTATGGACATTCGACAACAGGGATTAGATACATACTTGGTTGTTTAAAATGTTCTTCTATGCTTAATGGATTCCTAATGCTTAGTTTAGGTTAGACAACAGATGATCAAATTAGGGAATTAGGAATACAAGGTTAGGACCACACACCATGGCTTAATCATACTTTAGCTAGAATCAATCCGTTAATCTAATTGAACTTGGGAACTTATTTGCTTGAGTTATTTTCTTTTCTTTCTTTCTTGTTTTATTTATTTTCTTTCTTGTTTTTCTGTTTTGTGTAGGAAAACTAAATTGGATTATTCAATCACCAATCCCTGTGGAATCGACCTCGCACTTACATATGTTATACTACCGAACGGCTCGTGCACTTGCGAGTATCACAAGTTGAGGATGCAGCTGAATCCATTTTGGTGCAGCTGAATCGGCGCAACATTGCCGTCCAGAATGTTTACCCCTGACGCAACATGGGCCATTTCATTGGTCTCGTGGTTTTCGGCACGCGGCACGTGGACGAAAGAGATTCTGGAAAACTCGTCGGCCGTGTTGAGGGACATTACGTAATATGTGGTCAGATTCTCGCTTGTGCATTGATATTCCCCAGTCAGTTGGTTGATCAACAGCTGAGAATCGCCTTAAACCAAAACGCGAGTTACCTTCATTTCCTTTAGAATTTCGAGGTCGATGATGAGTGCTTCATATTCGGCCTGATTATTGGTGCATTTGAAATCAAGCTGGAACGCGAATTGCCACCTTTGTCCCCGAGGGGACTCGATCACGATTCCGGCCCTAGACGTGGTCTCGGTACTGGAGCCGTCGAAGTACATGGTCCAGTAGTTCTTCTCCATGCGGGCCATGCCGATCTCGACTTCCAATTCCTCCTCCTGCCCTTGAGCCGGGTGGAGAGCCAGAAAATCGGCCAAAGCCTAACCCTTGACTGACTTCTGAGCCACATACTGGAAGGTGAATTCTAATAACGCCATCGTCCATTTCCCAATTCGACCGCTTATGATCGGCCTGGTGATCATGTACTTGATAAGATTGGTTATGGAAATGATCTGAACGACCGAAGGAAGCATATAATGACGCAACTTGGTGGTCGCGAAATAAAGTACCAAGCACAGCTTTTCGACTGGTGAATAGTTTAGCTTGGCTATATTAAGGGTGCGGCTAAGATAATGTACGGCCTGTTCACGCTTAGACTCGTTGTTCTGAGCCAGTAGATAGCCGATAGAGCCCTCAGAAGCTGAAATGTAGAGCCTTAGGGGTTTCCCTCTTCTTGCTGGCATAAGGACCGGCTGCTGGGACAGGTACTTCTTGACTTTGTCAAAAGCCATCTGATGCTCGGCCCCCCAGACGAATTGTCCCATGCCCTTCAGTTTGAGGAGAGGGGTTAATGGCCGTGCTCGGCCCCCCAGTTGGAGGAGGCGCCGCTATAATGGCCTTGGCTTTATTTTTATCCACCTCGATCCCTCGTTGATGGACCAAGAAACTGAGGAAGTTCCCGATCGTGACACCAAAAGCGCACTTCTTACGGTTCATCTTCAGGCCGTGCACTCTCATTCGGTCGAACGCCTGACGGAGATGTCCTACGTGGTTGGCCTTGGATAGGGACTTGACGACCACGTCGTCGATGTAGACTTCAACGATTCGTCCAATAAGGTCGTGGAAAATAAGGTTCATGGCCCGTTGGTATGTCGCGCCGGCGTTCTTCAGACCGAAAGGCATGACCATCCATTCGTAGGTTCCGATAGCCCCCGGACATCTGAATGCCATCTTGTGGACATCACCCTCGGCAATATAGATCTGGTTGTAACCAACATGGCCGTCCATGAAGGAAATGAGCTCGTGCTTTGCGGCCCCATCGACTAAGAGATCGGATATAGGCATGGGATACTCGTCTTTGGGGGTCGCGAGGTTCAGATTCCTGTAGTCAGTGCAAACCCTCAAAGCCCCGGCCTTTTTCAAAATTAGTTCAATATTAGCCAACCATTCAACGTACCGAGCCGTACGGATGAAGCTAGCCTTAAGGAGCCATTCGATTTCTTCCTTAACCTTTAGTTGAACGTCGGTCGAGAATTGCCTTGGTGGCTGTTGGAATGGTTTAAAACCTTCTTTAATTTTAAACTCGTGCTCAACCAAACCTCTAGGCAATCCAGGCATCTCATGATAATCCCAAGTGAAGCAGTCTTTATATTCATGGAGCAGGCCGATAATCTCGGCCTTTAACTCCGAATTTAAAAGTTGTCTTACAAAAAGGGGTCGTGGTTCGGCCTCCGTTCCTACATTTATTTCTAATAAGGGGTCCTGAACTTCGGGATAACCGTCCTCCATCTCGGCAGGCGCCGTTTCCAAGTC